ATTTAACTCCTGGGAATTTGTCCTATAGACAGAACCTCAAATGTAGATCAAGATTTGAGCCCAGAAATATTTACCATGGTCATTTATACAACCTCTATCTCTACCCTTAGGGAATAGTTAAGATAATAGCTCCACAATGGAATAGTTTATAATCATTAAAAACTCATGAGAATAATGAAATGGGAGACTGTAGACACTAATTGTTCTGTGAACAAGGTGTTATAAAATTTGTATATATTTAGCCTTTAAAAATAGCTGCCATTTATTGAGCATTTACTATGTACTGAAACTCTACTAACAACAAACTCCTCCCAACAAACCAAAGAGGAAGGCACTATTATCACACCATGTTACAGATGAGAAAACAGATGTTCTAAGCGGTGACACGATTCTCAGGGTCACACAGCAAGCAGATGGCAGAGCTGGGATTTGAACTCAGGTCCCTCAGCTCCCCAGAGCAGAAAAGGCACACAAAGTGCCGAGGAGCAACTGCGGTCTTTTGGAAGAGTGGGTGTGATTGTTGCTTCCTTCCTCATAACTGCCTGTGTTTCTTTTTTCCCCAAGTGGGGGCGGGGGGCAGGTAATGAAGAAACCTATTAGGTACACAGAGGAGAAAAGCTATTGCCTCTTTCCAGCTGGCATCTTTGAAGATAAACCATCCAGGGCTCATGTCTCATGCCACAAACTCACTTCATGTCCATTATTTTCTGTTTAAAGATGAGCAGCAGAGTGTTCTGCTGTGTGCTCTGTCTGATTGCTTAATCACAGGAGTGTGTGCTGCAGACGCACATGTAACCCACTCAGACGGAGACAGGAGAGAAGCCAAAACTCTGCTAGATCGATGCAGACTGCTACAGGCACAGCTTTCCAAAAAGCAGAGCTCAGTGAAATAAATATTTTTCCTGTGAGAAGCAGCTTAAGTCGGCAATCTTAACAACCCCCCAATTCATTCCAGATCCGCTCGGAGCGGCTGGCGTCAGCGGCCCATCTTGATGCACTTAGGCTGGCTTGGTGACTGCAGCGTGCCCGAGCGTCTGGCTGTGTTCTTGCATGCAGCGGTGTGCCAGGGCCCTGGGCAGGACAAGAAAGAGTATGCCCTGAGAATGTGCTCCCTGAGCCCTCAGAGCCCCCCCACAACTTCTTGGGGTCCTGGCTTTCTTTTCCTAGTAAGCCCCCTATTATTTAATCTCACCTGGAGACCTGAGAATCCCACCCCGTCTTGGTGAAAGCTCACCTCTCTCAGTCCCCGAGAGAAGCTGCAGGAAGAGTTCCGAGCCGGGACTTCAGAACACATAGACACAAGGACGTCTGGACTGTCACAAACACTGGCCATTTTCACTGTCCGGGCAAAAACCTGCCGATGGTGAACTCCTTCATTCCCAAGGGCCAAGGACGCTCCTTGGAGTACAGGGATTTCTCAGTGAGCCAGGTGGACCAAACCCTGCTCCTGGAGCCTGCTTTCCATGGGGTGACAGACACTAGACAAGGAAGCTATCATGTGGAGCGTGTCCAGCAGAAATTAAATCAGGAGATGGGGCAGGAAAGGCCTCGTGAGAAGGTGATATTTAAGTCACAGGGGGAAGGCATTAAATAACCGTGTCTTGCGGATCACGAAAGTCCCTTTTCAATGGTCTTTCAGCCTTGATTATACTAGTGAGGAGGTCTGTTTGTAGTTAATGTGTCTCCAGCACTGCTCTGAGACCTACCCATCGTGAAGGGGGAGGCTTGGCAGGCTGGGCTTGGACGTAGCTTTATTTTCAGTGTGAGGCTCTCACAGCGCATGTTTCCGGTACCAGCCATGGCAAACGATGCCAGCCTCGGTGACGATTCTTTTAGATTCTTATTTCTTGAAAAAGGAGTTGATTTAATGAAAAGTGTTAAGTCGCGTAGGGGGAGATCTGTGAAGGTGTGGAATGAATGGAATTTGGGACGCCTTGAGATAAAGCAGGAGCCTTCTCCTCCCATTGCTCAGAGCCCAGCTCAGGCCCTGAAAGCGATGAGTATCAGCCTTTGGTCAGCGCCTCCCTTTCGGAGCAACCGAAAGGGGACAGCTGCTCCTTGGCTCTGATGGGTCGGGGACAACTGCCCATCACAGGTGCTGGGCTCACTTACTAAAGGCAAGCCTGACCTGCCAGAGGACACGCAGGCTATTTCTGGCAGAGAGAACAGTGGCGGCCAAGGAAGAGGGGTGCAAAGGTGACGGGGACCCAGGCCCTGGCTGAAGGTCTTGAGTCTGAGGTGCAGGGAGAGGTTGGTGGGGGACATCTGGGGAGAATCACCCTGCAGCGTGTGCAGAGGGAGCAGAGGCGGCGGCGCCTGGGTCACCACCCTGGAGTTATACCCACCCAGTGAATAACCCTAACAGGAATCCTAACCGCACACGGCTCAAATGCAAGAGCATTCCTGTATTTTCTTATGTGATCTCAGCAAATCCCCCAACCCCTCCCTCAAATTATTGCTCTTGTTGCCATCCTTTTTTTTTTATTTTTTTATTTTTTTTATTTTATGTACTAGGGGTTGAACCCAGGGAGCGCTGAGCTACATCCCCAGCCCTTTCTTTTATTTCATTTATTTTGGGGCAGGGTCTCCCTACATTGCCTAACCTGGGCTCAAATTTGTGATCCTCCTGCTTCAGTCTCCCAAGCAGCTGGGATACACGGGTGTGTCACCATGTCCGACTGCAATGTTTTTTACACATGGGGGATTGGGACTGAGACCAAGTCACTTGTGCAAGCTCATGAGCTAAGAAGCAGCAGCCAGGAGCTAATTTTTTTTTTTTTTTTTTTTTTTTTTTAGGGAAATAGAGTCAGGCATAGTGGTGCATGCCTGGAATCCCAGAATTTGAGAGAATGATGTAGGAAGATTGCTGCAAATTTGAGGCCAACTTGGGCTACGATGTTAGCTCAAGGCCAGCCTGACCTACATAACGAGATCTTGTCTCCAAGAAAAAAAAAAAAAAAAGAAAGAAAAAAGAAAGCAATGGAGACATAATTCATATGATACGCCATATGCCGTAAAAGTCACCCTTTTAAAGTATACAATTGTGTAACTATCATAACTATCCAATTCCAGAATATTTTCATCAGCCCCCAAAGAGAGCCCATACCCATTAGCAGGCACTTCAGTCTCCCCTGCCCCAGACCTGGAAACCACAAGTCTACTTTCTGTCTCTGTGGATCTGCCTTTTGCAGAGTTTCATATAAACGGAGCTGTGATCCGTGACCTTTTGCATCTGGCTCCACTGACCCAGCATGATGTTTTCAGGGTCCACCCATGTTGGAGCGCATGGCAGGGCTTCAGGGCCAAACATCCCATTGTGGGACTCACCCACCGTTTGCTGTCCATTCATCAGCGGCTGAACATTTATCGGGGCTTTCCTTGGATATTATGAATAATGCTGCTCAGACATCTGTGTGCAGGTTTTGTGGGATCACGTTTGCAGATCTCTTGGGCGTATCCCTAGGAGTGGGATTGCTGGGTGGGATCGCAATGCTATGTGGAGCTCGATGAGGATTTGCCAGGCTGTTTTCCAAAGGACTTGTACCATTTCACAACCTACCAGCACCAGCCAGGGCTCCGGTCCCTTCCCCTACTCCCCAGTGCTTGCTGTTGTCCATCCGATCGCAGCCGTGCAGGGTGTGTGATGCAGCAGCTCACCGCGGACTGGATTTACAAGCCCTGCAGCCGGGACTTTTCACTGGGACTGTGTGCAGGATGGATCAGACTCAGTGATCTCTCCCACAGCGGAGGATGAGAGGAGCAGTCAGGAGGCCCTGGGTGTGCATCCTGGAAGAGTCTGGGGGTGGGATGAGCCTCCGACAGACTTGGGGGACTGGAACCCCCAGGCCTGCGCTGACTCGGCTTCCTCCTGAGGTGGGGATCGGCTCAGCTTTGGAGTCCTTGGAGAACCTTGCCCCGCAGGGAAGCAAGTTCAAAGGCATCCTGGAGCAGGGGACAGCGCTGAGCCTATGCCTGTCCCCAAGGGGCAGTCAGGGTGCTGAGGCCTGGTCTTTACCCAGCTGCACCCGCTGGGAGTGCTAGGCACACGCCACCCTCCATTCCCAGGTGCAAGCCGTCTTCTCAGCGTCCTGAGTCCCTACTGGCCTGTGGCTCCTGGGAGGTCTGCCGGGCCCCCTACCCCTGTGCACGGGCAGTGCCCTGAAGACCCAGGGGCTTGGGAGTCAGGGGTGGTGAGCATCACGACCTTCACGCCCGAGTGTTTACCTCACGCTCTCAGGGCCACCTCCCGCTCCCCTGACCCCCAGGCATTTTATTTCCATCCTCACTTTACAGTGGAGGAGACCAAGGTTCTGACAGGAAAGGGATGCCATTCAGCCAGTGTCACGCAGCCCGTGAGTGGGACAGCCAGGAGGTGAGCCCGCCCCTGACCAGAGCCGCGCCTCTGACAGCCGGACCACAGAAGTGAGAAGGACACGCGGAGCCTACCTGGCATCGCGGCCTCCCAAACCCATAGCTTAGAACAGTGCCACAGGGCTGGGCTCAGCACTCTGTAGCCCAGAAGCCTTCAGGTGCCATGAGGCTGACACCAGGGGTGGCCAGGCTGGGGGTTCAGGGACAGACCTACTTCTGAGCTCATCCTCTTTGGCATAATTCAGTTCCCCATGGCAACAGGACCCATAGGCCCACCTCCTTGGAGCTTCTAGCTTCTAGGGGCCCCCCTTCCTGCCACGTGGCCCCTGAACACACGAAGCCAGTGATGAGCCCCGGGCCCCCTCCTACTAAATCCCTCTCTTCCTTCAACTGCCTCTGCCGGGCACAGCGGGCTGGGCACAGGGCTCCTCCCATGAGTCAGGTGAGGCACAGCTGCCTTGTGCCCTACAGAGAGATCTTGGAAGACCCAAAGTCATCGTGACAGGGAGAGGACTGCAGAGGAGGGGGGACGCTGGAGCCATCTTGCCGCCCTGCCTACCAGGGAAGGCCGTAGGCACTAACACCAGTGACAACAACAGTAACACCGGCATTTCCTTTCATTTGCTTAGAACTCCGTGGATTCAGACAGATTCTGCCCCTGCACCCCCGCTGGAGCCTGCTAGGGACTGAATGTGGATATGATGGTGACTGGGTCTTAAAGGTGGAGCCCATGAATGGGGTAAGCACCCTTAGAAAGAGACCCCCGAGCATTTGCTTGTCCTCTTCCTGCCGTGAGAGGCTGTGGTGGGACATCCCTGTCTGCAGCCCAGACTGGCCCCCTCTGGACCGGTCCCTGCTGGCCCCGATCTCGGACATCCAGCTTCCAGGACTGAGCAATGAAGGGGAGCTGTCTGGAAGCTGCCCAGCCTGCAATGCATTGTCAGAGCAGCTGGAACTGACAGGCAGGGCCTGGCGGCTGTGCTGTGAATCCAGTGCTTTTATCCCCGTGTCACCCCGCCCCAGGAGAGCGCGCCACGCTGGGGCTGGAGCCCGGGTTTTCCGGCCCCTCATCTGTTCCGGCTCTTGGTGCCTGCAGCACCCCCCAACACACACACACACACACACACACACACACACACTGGAAGCCTCAGACCTCGTTCAGGTTCTTGGAAGAGGGTGAGACATCTGCTTCCAGGCAGCGCAGCCCTAGGGAGCACCTCTCTGTGAACTTACCACCTCCACTGGGTCGTGGAGCATGCTTGGCTTTTGCTTGGCTTTTACAGGAATTGCTACTGGCCGAGGAAGCCCACCTCATTAAACAGAAGAGGCCTGGGGGTGCCAAGCAGGGCGGGGTGGGGGGTTGGCTGCAGCTGTGAGAGGCAGCCCAGACGAGGGGTCGCTTTCTCGAGGGGGCCGCCCGCATCAGCACCAAGATCCTGCGTCTGTGTGTGCCCCACATCTGGCAGGCCTCCTGCGGCTGCCCCCCTTGATGTTTAAGCCACTTCCCCTCCCCCCCAGGGTCCCCTCTCTTCTGGGCACCTTTGGGAGGATTTGTTAATTGTTGAAAACCTCCATTCTCTCAAAACCACTGTCCTTCTTCCCTTCCACTCATGTTGGGTGCTGTTCCAATCCTTCCGTGGCTCGGGAAGTGTTGCTGGGCCAGGGGAGAGTGGACTGGAGAGGTCCCATGGGCTGCTGGGGTGAGACCTCTGCTCACTTGAGCTGAGGGGTCCTGGAAGGCTCCTAGGGGGAGGCCCTGATGCCACAGGGTCTCTGAAGAATCTGGCCCAGAAATGGGCCAGGACCAGGAGCAGAGGAGCCCAAGATGGGCTGGCCCTGGACCCTCCAGGCAAGGCCCCCAGGCCAGGGTGAGCAGAGTCCAGCAGGGTCTGTCTGCCTGCCCTTTGACTTAGCGCGCTTCTTGGCAGCGGTGTCCCTTAGCCTGGCTCAGGCCTTGCTCCTCTCCCTGGTGTGGGACGGTGGGGCTCAGACGCATCCGTCAGAACAATAGCAGAGGGTGAGAACCAAATCCTCAGACGGAAAATGGAGGTCAGGCATGGTGGTGCATACGGTAATCTCAGTTGAAGCTGGAGGAGCACATGTGTGAGCCCAGCCTGAGAACGTGTCTCAAAAAAAAAAAAAAAAAAGGAAAAAAGAAAGACAGAAAGGAAAATGAAATGCCATTAAGTTGCAAGAAAGTCTACAGAATGTGAGACAGGAGGAGCCCAGGCAGAAAGTACTTGAAACTAAATTCCTGAATCCCCACCCGGAAGTTCCCACTGCCCAGTTTCCCAGGTTGCTCCGCCCCTCCCCCAAAGCCACCCCTCTCCAGCTGTCAATCACTCATCACCAGTCTGAGCATTTCTGGGTTTCCTTGCGTGGAACAGCCAGCATCTCCTCTCCCACTCTTCCAGACCACCTTCACTGCTTTGTCTATAAAAGAAAAACTTTCAACTGCCGGGATAAGCAAAATGCTTCCTATGGGTTATATGTTGACTTATGTCCCTCAGAAAGATATACTAAAGTCCCAACCCTTGGTACCTATGAATATGACCTTACTTGGAAGTAGGGTCTTGGTAGATATATTCAAGTTAGAATGGGGTCACTGAGTCGATCCTTATCCTATAAGATGGCATCCTGATAAAAAGAGGGGGTGCCTTTGAAGACAGGGACAATGCCTCATGACCGCAGAAGCAGAGACTGGTACAGTGCAGTTCTCAGGGGCAGACGCAGGGTGAACTAGATCCTTGGAGGGACCCCACCCTGCCAACCCCTTGATTTGGGACTTCTAACCCCCGGAACTGTGAGACAGTAAGTATCCATTGTCTAAGTCCCCTAGTTTGTGTTACTATGCTACAGTGGCTGAAAGAGACCAACACATTAGCCCAGGTCGCTAACCTCAGCCGTACAAAGCTGTAGGAAAAGCTATGCATTATACTCTTCAGTTTCTTTTAACCAGGAGGAAGGAGCAAGACTTCCAACTCTGGAGTAACTGTAGGCTCATCTCAGAGGGTTCCATTTTGTGGATGAGGAAACAGCCTCAAAGAAGCTACATAGCTTGTGCAAGGTCATGCAGCTAGAAAGAGGCAAAGACTGGACTTGAACTTGGGTTTGGGGACCCCCAAGGCTTATACTTACCACCCTCTGTGTGAGTCTGTGGCTTAAATCTCACAGCTGTTTGCAAACCGCCCCCAAATCCTAGTTCCCAAGTGTCACTTTTCTTTTCACATGAGCTCAAAATTTCGATCCCTGTCCTTATGGGAACTACCTGCCCTGGCCACATTTTCGTAACACGAGACTCTGGAAAGTACACCCTCTTTCCCTGGCGACTTTCATTACAAAACGGAGATGCGTTCCTACCCAAATCATCTCCCAGTAGAGCCGAGTAAAAATGTTTGGCAAAGAGGGGATTAATTGATAAACAGCTTGTAGTACACAAATCCTAGTGTCTGCCTGGAATGTTTTGCAACACTTTTTGGAAACGCTAGGATTATGATTCCAGAGCAAGCTGTTTATTTCAGGCTGTTAAGCCACATACGTGTCTCACATGCTTGGGAATCTGCTGACTTCACTCCGAGCATCAAGGATGGAGACCCTCTCCCCTCTTGGACGAGCCGGTGACGGGGCTGATAGAGCAGGGCTGCAGTACATGGGGAGACCAGCAGGGGTCTTCTAGTAGAGAAAGGGCGAAGGGCTGAAGACTGCTGGAGGTCAAGGCTTTGAGTCCTAGAAAATTAGTCTATTCCTCTGGGAGGAAATCCACTTGCCTTGGGTGTGTGTTAACCATCTGGCATAGCTGCTTAGCCCTGAGAATGGAAGAAGAGAAGATGTGAAAAAAGCCTGACTGCCCCCCGCCCCACACACACCTGCCCTTGTCGCAGGGAGGCACCTAGGCTGGGGCCCGCGTGCCAGGAACAGTCTCTCTGCAACAGGCACGAGGAGGAAAAGCAAACTGCACCTCTCACAGTGGAAAGAAAAACCAGAACAGCAGGCTGGCTTGGTTTCTCTTATAAACTGTTTACCTCGGGAGGACCAGATGGCTTGTCTCGGGTTGAACCCTTGACCAGTTAGTTCCCTGCTGTGAGCAGCCTCTGCCAGCAAAGAGACCCAGCTCCTCAGCCCCCGAGTCTGCGCTGGAGTCTCCAGGCCTCTAGGGAGGGGGGCTGTGGGGGCTCTGGAGCCTCAGGACACACAGCAGCCAGGACCGGGCGAGGCAAGCAGTGTCTGCAGCAGGAACAGGGGCGCCTGCCGTGGACGGCCTAGAACCGTGCGGCCCTGGACTCCCACCATCCCCCTGCGCCAGGGCCTCTCGCAGCTCACATGTTTTCGGGCCAGCGTCCCCTCCTGCTGCTCTGTTGTCCGCAGCTCGGGACGGTGCAGGACCGCAGGCTCGGGACACACTGCGCCCAGCTTCCCGCCACGGACGCAACTGGCTGTGACCTACTCTGAGTGGGACAGGGCTTTAACAGGCGTAAAATGTCACATTCTGAGTGTCAAAAATGTCCCTTAAGAATTTTTGGCCACTCAGGGCCTGGATGGCAAGAGGAAGAGGTCTTGCCTGGGTGTCACAGGCCTGCTGGGTGCTGTTGGAGGGTCACCCCGGCTTTCAGATGGGCAGAGGTGGGGTGGGCCAGACTCAGGATTCCTGAGAATCCCGGCAGACAAAGCATCTCTGACAGAGGCCTGTGTGGAGGAGAGGGGACAGATGCAGTCGGTGGGGAAGGCACGGGTCTCCCCAGGCCTCAGGCCCTATAGGTTGGGTTAGCACCTCATGGCACAGGTTGAAAAGGAAGGGCCAAGCTCTCAACGCAGGGTGGAAGGAGGGACAGATTTAGCCATGCGGGTGTCTGCAGCATCAGTCACGCAGGCAGCTCCACACACACCAAGAAAAATGAATGGAAGCCCGGTGTGGCGGTGCAGGCCTGTCATCCCAGCACTCAGGAGGCCGAGGCAGGAGCATTGTCATGAGTTCAAGGCCAGCCTGGGCTACATAGCCAGGCCCTGTCTCAAAAAAAAAAAAAAATTGGAGAGGTCATGGAGGGGCCGGGAGAAAAAGGGTCGTCACCCACATTCCCAAAGGGCTCCCAGGTCAGCGAGCGGCAGGGAGACAGGTGGGTGAAGGCCTGTGACGAGGAGAGTCCAGACCCCGGGCCAGGCGCTTATTCTTACAGGAAGAAGCGAAACGCCAGCAGTGACAGCAGTCAGCAAGGGAGGCGGGGAGCGGCCAGCCCCTGCCCCCGGGACGGCAGTACCTGAGCTGCTGGGCTCTGGGGCAGCTGTGCCTGGGGCTCAGCGGCTCGGAGGCATCAGGCTGGGTGTGAGCAGGCCTGGCCATCGAGGGGATGGGCCCCTGGGGCTGCAGATGCCACACTGTGGTGGCGGGAGTGGCACAAAGGCACAGAGGTGGCTCCTGTTCGGGGCTCTGGGCTCCTTCCTTCCCAAGCCCCGCTCCAGCCCGCGTCGGAGCCCCTGGGGCCGCTGCAGCCGACACACAGCCGAGAGGGTCAAGTGGGATAACGAGGGTCAAGCTCGAGGTCTGGCCGAGGCTCCCAGCTGGGCCCACTGCCAGTTGCTCTGGGAGCTGGGGTGAGGCACAAAGCCAGGGCAAGGCGCAGAAAGGGGCAAACAGGGGCGAGAAGGTAGCTGGAGGGGCAGCAGGCCCTGGACACAGCCAGGGCCAGGCAGGGCTGCAGGTGGCTGGCTGTCGTGGCACCTGCACCCTGCCCTCCATGGGCCCTTCCTCCGCAGAGAGGTAGTCTTTGGCTTTTGTTTTGTTTTGTGGCACTGGGGTTTGAACCCAGGGCCTTCATGCTGAGCCGCATCCCCAGCCTTTCCTATTTTTTAATTTTGAGACAAGGTCTCACCAAGTTGTTACTTGCAATCTTCCTGCCTCAGCCTCCCAGAGTGCTGGGACTACAGATGTGTACCATCATGCCTAGGAGAAGACTATGTAGTAATTTTGGTATATAGACCAATATATTAATATTATACAATAAAGTTTTGTTTTGTTGTTTGTTTGCTTGAGACAGGGTCTAACAGTGCCGCCAGACCAGGGAGTCCTCTCGGTCCCTGCTGCCCTTAGCACAGTGCTTCTCATAGGGTGCGTGTGTGTGTGTGTGTGTGTGTGTGTGTGTGTGTGTGTGTGTGTGTTGTGTGTCCCTAAGGGACAAATCTGGAGACATTCCTGATTGTCACAGGTAGGGGCCATGCTGCATACTTGGGCAGCTCCAGAGCAAGGCAGGCTCAGCCCTGAGCACCAGCCCTGCCAAAGTGGAGCCCCTCCTATAACTTTATATTAGTGTCCCGGACTCCAGGCTCCCAGGCCCCCGGGGAAGTGGGTCAGGTGCGTACAGGCCCGGAGGCAATCATCTGAAGCTGAACTGTTGAAAGTACGATGTGGCCACTTGCTAGTTCAAGTCACTTTCTCTCTGTGAGCCTCAGTTTCCCCATCTGTTAAATGGGGGAGGCAACAGCACCCTCCTCAGGGGGTGCTGTGGGGCATGAGTGAGATGCCACCCGTCCAGCACTCAGCCCAGTGTCTGGGACATGGAAGGGGACACTCAGAGGGCCCAGGGCCCAGGCTCAGGCCAGACCTTCTTTGTCCAGGGCTGATGAGTGAGTTCCCAGGACAAGCCGGGCACAGCAGGTCCTGCAGGGCGTCAGCTGTCACAGGCCTTGGTGCTGTTTCAGTTTTGGGCAATAGGGGGCACTTGGACAGAAGCCATGGGCCACCTCTTCCTTCCTCCCACAACCGCAGTGTCAGGAGGGTCTCTCTGATTCCACCGGGCTCCACGGCACTCTCCTCATCTCCCTTCCACTGCTCCCCTCAGCCCTGCTGTCCCGTAGCTGAAGCCGGGGTGGGGCTCAGAAGCCCCCTCGTGTCTCCCAAGGCTCCGCTTTCACCCTCCACCCCCAGCTCCTCTGTGCTCCATCCCCCTCCCCGTCCACACCCAGGCTGGTCTTCAGGGTGGCCCCTGGGTAACCCTGGGATGGTGGGTGGGAGTGGGCCAGTGTTGAGGGGGCAGCGATGGGGCAGGTGAGTGAAGAGGCCCCGGATGTTGCACGGAAAGCCGTGAGTGATCTTCACCTTGCAGAATCCCAGCAGCATTAGCAGGGATGGGGATGATATTTATAAGGGAAACTTTTTTTTTTTGGTGCCGGGAATCAGACTCAGGACCTTGCACTTGCCAGGCAGGCACTTGTGCCACTGAGCTAGATCCCCCGCCCCCGGGAAACATTTTTTTAAGAGGAAATTTCTCTTCTAACCCTAGCTCATCCTGAAAGGCAATGCTCTCTACAGCAAAGTATACCTGAGGCCCCTGGGAGCCTTAGTTACTGTGCAGCTGAGGACAACTTAATCAACTTCTCTGTTGTCTTCAAGTTAACATTTCTTTTTTGATTATGAAGGAACATATGTCCATTGTAGTCTCCCTCCACCCCTCTCTTCCTCTCCTTCCTTCTTCCCTCCCTCCCTCCCCTCCTCTATCCCTTTCTCCCTTCCTTTCTTCCTCCCTCTTACAGTACTGGAGATTGAATCCAGAGCCCTCACACTAAACTACACCCACAATCCTTTTCTACAAAGTTATTTTTAAGGCAGGTTCTTGCTAAGTTGCCCTGGTGTGACTCAAACTTGCAATCCTCCTGCCTCATTCTTCCGAGCACCGGGATTCCAGCTGTGACACCCAGCGAGAGCACCTGCCTGCCCATGAGCGTGACCGGCACTTGCTATTCACGGGTCTTAGGGTCACAGGTCAGGCCCAGCTTCAAGCAGGGCACAAACCCTCCCGGACCATCTGCCCCAGCCAAGGGCCCTCAGAGCCGCCTGGCTGTCCTGGGTCAGTGGGCCTGGAGGGGTGACGGGGGCTCCCAAGAAGTGGCTTGTTCTTCTCTTAAGTGAGATGCCAGGGCCACCTGCCCACCAGCTCTCTGTCTTGGAGGCCACTGGCTTCTGCAGAGGCCACCTTGGTGCGCTTGCTAGCTCCAGGATTCTTCCAGGTGGTTCCAAGGTGACAGGTCTGGCAGCAAGGCCGAGGACTGAGCACCGGGAGGGCAGGGTCTCCCTGCTCGGCTCTAACCCAGGTCCTTTATTTAAAAACACTCATTTATATCTCTCGGAAGACAGCTCGCCCTAAGTGGAGGCTACCTTAACATTAACAAAACAGCCTGATTACATTCAGGCTCTGCCCTCTGGCTGCCCAAGGCTGGCTCTGCTCCGCCCCCGGAGCTAGTGCTGGGCGGGGTGGGGGTGGGGAGGTAGAAAGCACTACTCAAGGCTGTGGGTTCATCGCAAGCACAAGCAAAGGGGGGACAAAGTAGAAGAAAGAGGCCCAAAGGGACTCGGCAGAGCCACTTTCCCACCAGCATGCTCACATGGTCTGGAACCAGTCCTCTCTTGGCCTGGAACACGCAGGGCCCCTGAGCTCCAGCCCAGCTGTCCCATTTTGCAGACAGGAAAGTAGAAGCTTGGAGGGGAAGGAGCTTGTGTCAGATGCACAGCTCTCCCAGCATGAGACTTCCTATGCAGGGGCAGGTCCCCTCCTCCAAGCTGGAACTGAGGGGAGGACCCGAGTGGACAAGGACTGGAGCTGTCTCTGCAGGACTGCTGCACCAGGCCCTGCCCGGCTGGGGTCCTAGGAGGGGCCGTCCAGGGGCGTAGCTTATGGGCAGGTGCAACTGGGTGGGTGTCCAGGGGCAGGGGCAGAGGCCAAGCTCCAGCTCCAGCAGGCTGCTTGCAGGGCGTCTGTGCTGGCCCTGGGGACACAGAACTTGGTCAAATTGGCAGAGCCGCCCAGGGGACCAGGGCTCAGAGCTGAGGACCCGCACGCAGCGGGCATTCAGGCCTTGTTCATGCGGACATGGCTTCTGGGCCAGGTGGGCGGCAGGCCTGCTGAGCAGGCAGATGAGCTCAGCGGGCACCATTACCAAACCCAGAGGGCCCTGGGCACCAGCTGGCCTCTTAATGCAGCTTAAACACACCCGCCATGGGACCAGGGCCTGGGGCCAAGCTTAGCACTCAGGGAACCCTGCTACTCCCGCTGCTCCGGCCAGGCAAATGCAGTTCCTCAGGGGACCCAACTTTCCACTCCGGGCCTTTGCACTCGCCGTTCCCCCTCCCTGGCACATGTGTCCATCCCCGCTTCCTAGTTTAGTTTGTAAGCGAGTGGTCCCTTCCCTCAGGGGTCATCTGAAGTCTTCCCTCCTCTGGGGCTGAGCCAGGGGTCCCTTCTCTGCTCCCACAGGCCTCGGCTGCCTCCCATCCAGCACAACCCCATCACCTCTGACTGCCACCATGTCTCCTGCAGGACTAGTTCACAGCTGTGTGCCCGACGCCTGCTTTCAGTAGGCGCTCAGAACCTGCAAGCCCCTTAGTCGCTCATTTATTCAGTCAATCACTTGTGGAGCCTCGGCCCACAGCTGTGAACAGGACCTGACGAGCCACTGCCCCTGCAGCTGGGTGCTCACAAGGGGCACAGCTATCCTCAGAAGTGAACGCAGGACATCTGGTTACTCTCTGAGGACACAACACAGGGTGCGCTCTGCAGGCTGGAGTCTGGGTTCTCCCGCCCTTCCCTTCACCTTGGTGGGCTCCAGGGGAGTCCTGGGAGCAGGTGGGCTTGGTCCTGTCGCCGCTGGTGAAACAAGAGGTTGGGCTGCGGGCTCCCTCGGGTCCCCGGTGCAGGCAGTCTGGTTCCAGAGCAGCCTGCCCAGTTCCATACTTATAAATGCACGTTCCTCGTCTGGGGCTATTTTGCCATTTCCTTTCATTCTAAACCTAAGATGCTATTTTGGAAACTCCTATAAGCAAACGAACCCCTGGCTGGCATTTGAGGGGAGAAAAAAGAGCCTTAAGTGAGGGAGTCAGGCATAAAAGCCACCCAGCCCCAAAAGCCCACAACGCTAAATTTAGAAGCCTCACCTCTAAATGAGGTGAAATTGCAGGTTCCTCCGGCTGGCGGCAGCGGCGGACACGCAGGGCAGCTGTGGCCAGCAGTGAGCAGGACAGATTTGGGGGTGGGAGCGGGGAGGGCCCTGCTTCCCGCAGCCACGCCTTGGGGGCAGAGGCCCAGGGCAGCGCCCAGTGTCTGCGAGCAGCTGCCCGTGTGAGGAGGCCCTGCCGCCGGCCTGCCGGGCCTCCACAGTGCCGGTCTGAGTGTGGGCTCCCGGGTGCCAGGTCAGAGAGAGGCGGCGCGGGACACAGGGGCACAAGAGGCAGCCTGTCTGCCACCAAAGGTTTGAGAACTGCGTGACCGCTGTGCCTCCCTCCTTGGGGCAGGGGCCCTGGGGGTCTCTGGCTCAGCCCCGATGCCCTGCTGAGCACTGGCCGCCAGGGCTCCTGATGTTCCTCACCACGACGCCGGCCCCTGCCAGGCCCTCCCTAGACGTGCGCGCAACCCAGCAGCTAACGGGTCCATGGCAACCAGGGCAGGCGAGGTAGGTGTGGGAGGGGAGGGGGTCTTCAGGGCACCTTCTGGGCAGCTTCCCTTTCTGAGGCTGGTGCCCCTGCTAGGCTGTGCTTGAACATGAGGGGGATCATGGCCACTGAGGTTCTTGAGGGCCCCACTCTGCCCGCCATCCCATCCCATTCCGTCCCCACAAGAAACCCAGCCGGGGGGATTGTCACCTAGTTACACAGGACCAGCCCACCAGGGCCGGCTAGGAGGGGGTGCTGGCAGCTGCTTCTTCCCGCTCCCTACAGGGTGCTCACACCCGGACGCCTCTGTGCTGGGCCCTTTTCCTCCCTGTCTGGGTCTGGCTCCCAGGCAGAGTAAGTCCGCAGCACCATCGGGGAGGCAAGCACAGCCTAGTATGAGTTGCCAGGCTTTGCAGCCCCATGTACCCAGGTTCAAATCCCAGCTCCGGGGCTGGGGAGTTAGCTCAGCGGCAAAGCGCTTGCCTGGCAAGCGCAAGGTCGTGAGTTCGATTCCTGGTACCGGAAGAAAAGATAAAGACAAAAAACCGAACAAACAAACAAAAAAATCCCAGCTCCATTTCCTGCCTGAGTGATATGATTGTGAAGGAGCCATCCTCCCACCCCAGGTCTTAATTGCTTTATCTGCAAAATGGAGATATATAATGGTACTTGCCTCACGTTGTGTTGGGAGATTCAGTGATACTGGTTTGTTTTTGTTTTTTTTTTGTCTTTTTTTGTTGTTGTTGTTTTTCCAGTAGCGGGAATCGAACTCACAACCTTGCACTTGCCAGGCAGGGGCTGTGCCGCTGAGCTAAATCTCCAACCCCTTGGTGATACTGTTTAAAGCCCTTAAAGCAGGTAGAAGGGTGCTGGCTCCCAGAAGAGGGTGGGCATTCGAAGCAGGGCTAAGTGTCAGTAGCAGCTGCTTCTGTAATAAAGTTTTATTGGGACACAGACATGCCCACTCATTTGCGTATCATCTGTGGCTACTTTTGCTCTGAAAGGGTAGAACTGAGAACAGTGGTTGTGACAAAAAAAAACCATACATCCTGCAAAGCCAGAACCCTTTATCACCTGGTCTTTTACAGGAAACTTTGTCTGCCCTGCCTCAGGCCTAGTGCTTAGTGATGGTAATTATTGTCACCTTCCGGCTCTGGGTAGCTTTCCTTCCTGGCCCCAGGTTCCCCAGGATAGGCACTAAAGAACACCCCTGGCTCCTATTTAGCGGAAAGAGAACTCACACTGCTGGCCAGGTCCTCCGTACCTACAGGGAATCAGGACCTGTGGATCAGAGAGGACGCCCGAGGCAGGGAAGTATCCAGCAAGACTCTGAGGGCGGTGACTTCTGGAGGGGATGGCCGATGTCTTAGTTACTTTTCTCGTTGCTGAGACAAAATATCTGGCACCCAAAATTAAGGGAGAAAAGTTTTATTTCAGCTCACAGTTTGTAGGGGTTTCAGTCCATAATTGGCTGGCTCCAAGGCAGGGCGGCATAATAAAGTAGCATCACAGAGGAGAAACAGTTCGTGGCAGGCAGAAGACAGCAAAAGCAAGCCACAAGCCTTTTTCTGTCCCCTATATCTTATCCAGGCTATCAGCCCTTAGGGCAGGTAGCACTCACACCCTTAATCCTAGCGCCCTTAATCCTAGCAGTGTACAATGAATCAATCCTAGCGTCACATACTCTAGATCCAGCCACCTCTGAGAAGCCCCACCTGTGACTGCATGAGGCTTTGGGGGGACATCAAGACACAAGCCAGAACAGCCGGGAAGCCAATCCCATGGGCAGCTCAGCTGCTGTTTGAGGTCTAGGCACCTGGCGTTGGGCTACACAGCGCCTGGGCTCTGCTCTCCGCCCTCCTCTAGCGCTAAGCAGGACGTGAGCAGGAGCACCTGGCTTAGCTGTTAAGGCCCTGGGGGAGGGGGCTGCTATGTCCTCTTTCTCCTGAAGTGGAATGACCGTAGATGGTGGTGGCTCCTTCTCATCTTGCCCATCCGCCTGGTGTGCACGGGGCCTGACGGCAGCTATGGGCTGGCGAGGTTCACCACCAGCCGAGCACCAGCGCCCATGGGAGCCTCTGCCCCTGTCCAGTGTGGTGCAGACCTTCCCTTGGGGCTGGTGTTCAGCTTCCAATGCGATGTCCACTGGCTCATAACATTTCTAGAAATTTCAAAGTTGGCTCCGGTGAGGAGGCACAAGCCAGCACCGGCGGGGGCTTCCCCGGGCGGGGTGTGGGGCTGGAGCCCAGGCATGCAGGAGTCCCAGAGCCAGGTGAGACCATAGACAGCAGCCAGTGCTGAACTCGCCACGAGACACACCTGGGTTCTAAACCCGGCTCTGCCGCCTCCCTGCAGGGTCTGTGGGCTGATTTTGTGGCATCTCTGAGCCTCAGTTTCCTCATCTATCCAGTTAGGGGGATCAGTGGCTCCTGTTCCCTAAGGGGCTTTAGTAAGGTAAGTTGAATTGGCATTCAGCATGGGGTCACTGCTCACTTAATAATGAACAGTGGAGAAATGATGCTTCCATCGTGAGCCTGCCTCAGTTTCCCCATCTGTTCATGGGATTTGCAGTGGCCCCTAGCTCCAGGGTGGCCACCCAGCAGGTGCTCAGTGAATGGTCCCCACCTTCTTCCATCGGGGGAGAAGTTGCTCCCCTAACTCCCCTGCCTTGGCTGCCTTACCTGATTCCCCTCGCTCACCTGCTCACCTCTAGGGGTCTCCATCCACCAGGTGCGCCGCCAGCGAGTCCTTCCTGGGTGTCCCTTGCACTGTGGGCTCTCGGTACACCGTGTCCTCTGTCCCCCTGTAAAGGAGGTACTTTCTAAATTCCCATTTCACAGTTGTGATCACTGAGGCCTGGAGCCCAGCCAGGGGCGTGGTAGGGCTTGAACTCAGGTCTGGTTTCTTTGTTTCTGACGCTTCCCTGTGGGCTGCTTATGGGGACTCTGGGGCAAGGGGAAAGGGGAGGCAAAGGCTTCTGGGGGCACACAGATTACTGGAGGTGCTGAACGTGAGCTCTGAGCCCTGGCAGTGGCTGATAACAGGGTGCAGGACTGACAGCTGGGTGGAGGTGACCATTGCCCGCCAGGTCTGACGCTGGAGGCTGTGCGGGTGCAGGCTCGAATGTGTGTGCAGGAGGCCTGCTGCGGTGGCGCTGTCTGTACGTTGGTCTGCGTAGCAGGGTCCCTAGAACCTTTTGGTGGACAGCTCCCTGGCCGAGGAGGATGAAACTGGAGCACCCGAGATTTAGGTTAGATATGAGGAAGAACTTTCCGACTGCTCATGCTGGAAGATGCTGGTCAGAAGGGCTATGTTCCGAAGGGATGTGGGGCATTTCTTTCCAACCTGGAGATGGTTTGGAAAACGGAGAAGACAGCCAGGGTCCCGGGCTGGCCTCACTGCAGCCTGGGTCGGAGACAGGACGAGGGATTTGGGGCAATGGCAGCCCTTTACGTGAGGAGTCTGTGACCTGGGCTTTATCACCCCCTGCTCGAAACCCTCCCACGGCTCCCAGCTGCCCTTGCCCAGCTGCACGGCCAAAGCCCTCCCCGGGGCTCCGAGGCTGCTCAGGACCTGTGTTCTTCCAGCCTCTTGGCCCCACAACTCCTTTTTGTTTCCGCATCATCATCCTTCTGCACCCCACCCCCGCCTGTGACCCTGCGGCGCCTGCTGCCTCACCCCGCCTTTGTCCCCACCCCGCTCAGCCTTCCCAGCTCTGGTCACCTCCGTGGTTGGGTCAGGAGCCAGGGCCACGGCACGTGGCTGCAGATCCTGGGCCACAATGGTCCTTGGTGTGTCTGTGGAGGTGAGGGCTGGGCCTCACTGTGCAGCCCCATGACTCCTGCGGAGGGGCAGCACTGCTTGGGCAGGAGGAGCCTGCACGCAGAGTGCAACGACCAGGGTTCGAATCCTGAGCTCCCCAGCCTCGGGGAGACTCGGTTTCTCCCCTGGGAGCCTGAGACAGTACCAGCTGCCCTCCGAGGTGGGGCTGGGGTGAGGCCCAGAGGGGACAGCGGAAGCATCTGTCTCACAGTCCACACTCGGGAGGGGGCCATGCCTGCTGACCATCTGTCCTTTCCTTGCAGGTGACGGCCATGTCGGTGAGGGTGCGGTTCCTGTCCCCTCGGGACGCCGGGGCTGTGGGGGCCGTGGGCCGCAGCGCCTCCTTCGCGGGCTTCAGCAGCACACAGAGCTGGAGGATTGCGTAAGTCCCCCCCCCAACCTGGGGTCGGGGCTAATTGGAAAGATGGGAAGGACAGGGCCCACCCGTGACAGACACAGAGACGGACGGACAGACATACTCATGGCTGGAAGAAACCTATAATTTCCTTGAGATCCAGGCAGATATCATTTCAAATGCTCTGAAGTCGATCTAGCTGAAGTATCAGGCTCATGTGGCAAAACAGGCTCAGAGAGGTGAGTCAATTAGCCCAAGGTCACACAGTGAAACCGCTCCAGAGCTGGAACTCAGTGTCCTTGGGGCGAGGTTAGGAAGGAATGCTCTTCCTGTTTGGTAGCCTAGGAAATGGGGCCAGCTATCCTGGCTCTGCGACCTGGGGCAAGTTCTGAGCCTTGGCTTCCTCATCTGAAAAATGGGAGTCATGTCTTTCCTCATGTGTTGTCATGAAGGTACAATTCGGTGACTCCTGGCAAGACAATGGCACACGCTGGTGCTGGAGGGTTCTGGTAGGGAGGTGTGGTCCCCACGGGGGGGACAGGCCAGGAGCTCATGAGAGGTGCTGGCCAGGCTGGGCTACCGCACAGACTTGGGGAGAGAATCCCTGGGGAAGGTGGCCGTTTCCTCCTGGGGGGCCACTTTCTAGCATCATGAGGGCCCCAAACCTCCACCTGTCTAAGTGGGTGGGTGACAGTGGGGTTCCCAGTCACAGCAGGGTGCAGAACCTGGCTGGTTAGTGAGTGATCAGCTGTGTCCCCCATGCCACAGCCCTACTTGGAACGCCAGTGTCCCCTACTACTCAGGATGCAGCCCCTGCCCTCAGGGCCAAGGCCCTGCGATCAGCCCGGCCAGCGCCTCCCTGCTCCTGCAGTCAGACACCGATCTCCTCTGCGGGTCTTACCCGGAGCACCGGTCCCTCCTGCTTCTGCTGCTGCTTCTCCCCAGGGCATGGTGTCACTCACCCCCCATGAGGGGCTCTGAGCCCCGGCAGGCCAGGGCCCCACCCACATTCCCCAGCCCCGGGTTCAATGGCCACACAGTGGACCCTCCCTAGGGGACCCAGTCCCGTGGTTCCCCTCTACTCACTCACCTTGCATGTGCTGCCCCATACCAGCTGTGCTCGGGTGCTTGGGGGACAGGCGCACCTCCACCTGGCTGGAATTCTGGTGTCTCAGCTGGGAGCACCCTGAGGAGTCCCTTGGTCCTCAGCAGACATATATGGAGACCTATGCTGAGCCAGGCTGTGGGCACAGCACCCTCCTGGGGGTGGTAGCAACCAAGCTGATGATAACCAAGGCAGATTTGGCCATGGTAAGGGCTCTGCAGGGCCAGGAGAGGGTGGGGGGAGGAGAGCCAGCCTTCCCGCAGGGCTGGGACAGGGACACAGAAGAACGGAGGAAGTGGACCCTGAGCACGTGGGGCTGGGGAGGCCTTGCAGGCGGACAGGACAGCAGGTGCCGAGGTCTTGGGGCAAATGAGCTTTGAGGGGGAGGAAGCAGCCAGCGGGTGGGACCCTGGTCGGAGAAGGAGAGGGACCCGCGGGGCCTGGTGGCTGTAGAGAATTGAAACATATTCTCAGTAGGGGGATTAAGCAGACTTCAGAGGGGTTGAGATTCAGCCAGAGACCCAGGGGATGAGTACCCGGTGCCCAGGAGTGCAGGCTGTGGGCAGGACGTGTGCGGGCCCCATGGGGACAGCACACAGTCAGCGTCGCAGAAGTGCTGCTGCGAAGGCTGCAGATATATCGGCCAGGGTCCTGCTGCCCCTCAGCTGCCTCTTCCTGGAATTCCTGGTGTCCCCACGCTGGTGTCCCCACCCGGGCTGGAGGACCAGCTGTGCAGGCCACCTGGCCCAGGGACTTGGCCCCGCAGGGGAGCTCTTCCCATAAAGTACGCCATGCCCCTGGCACTCTGGGTGGGGAGAGGCCAGAGGTGGTCCAGTTCCTGACACTCAGGCTCAGGGGTCACCAGCCCATGTCAGTCATGTCCATTTTTTTTGTTGTTTTGTATTTTTCCGGTACCGGGAACCAAACTTACGACCTTGCGCTTGCCAGGCAGGCGCTGTGCCGCTGAGCTAAATCCCCAGCCCCAGCCATGTCCATGTTGAGGGAAGATGGCCCTGATGGCTGTCGATGTCCTGGACCTCACCGTCTCCCCTAAGGGAGCTGAAGGCTGGGTCCAGTTAGCCCAGGTCTCCTGGGGCCTCAGCCTCTGTTGTCCTCCTGCCCAGGGGTGAGAAAGGAGGTACCAGGGAGAAAGAGCATCTATTTTCACTTCCTGTCTCCATCTTGCTCCCCAGGGCTAAATCCCTGGCGCTCCCCGCTGGGCTCCAGCTGGATGGCCTGGCTTGGAGTTCAGGCCTCACCTTCTGGCCTTATTTCCCAGGTAACCCAAACAGGCCAAAACAGCCAGGCTGTCCAGGCACTCCGCTCTGGGGCGGGTCAGGAAACTGACCTCTGGCAGGAGAACAAGGCTGTTTATAGATACCAAAGTTTGAGGCCTCTGTTGTCCTAATCCTCCCTACCCCCACTTTGACATAGACAGCTTTTCAGTCCACAGAGAATTCTCTTGGAAGTAATCTCATGGCAGAATTTTATACTAAGTTGTGAATGGTTGCTACAATAAGACCATTTCTGATTTTTCAGGCACTATGGGTGGTAGCGGTGGGGGTCAGACTCGGATATGGTCCCATTCTTCCTCAGCTGACATAGCTGCCCTTAACCTCTGCCTTGCCTTGCCCCTTCCCAAGATGTTGGGCAGATTCCTGCTGAGCCAGGAGCCCCTGTGACAGCCTCACCTCCCTGGCAGTGCCTCCCCTGGGTCTCCCGGGACACACAGGTGTGAAAATTCAGTATGCACACTCCGAGCTCGGGGCCCTGACGGCCCCCAGGAGTCAGACCTTGCTTGGGAGGAAATGGCCCCTTGTGCGATCTGTCCTCTGCTCTGACCCCGGAGTCTCTCAGCGCGGCCCTGTGAGGGCTGGGGCTGGGTGGATGCTGCATCGGGCTCCCCAGCTGGTCCAGCCGCAGCCAGTGCCAAGGCTGGCGACAGCAGTGCAGGCAGAGGGCGGCTCTGTGGCCACACGTGAGCACCGGGGCAGGAGTTGTCTGGCGTGCCGGGGGCTGTTTAATATTTACTGAGTTCTCTCGGAGCTGGGCCAGTGACACATCCACCCCTGGAGGCTGCTCCAGGCCGACTGTGGTGACATCCGGGTCTGACTCGCAGCCTGATTTCACCATCTGGAGGCTGCGCGCGCATCACCGGCCGGCCGGGCCTGCCCTGGGACTCCAGACAGGGCGCTGGGCTCCGAGCTCACAGGTAGATGGGAAGGGCGCCGGGCCCAGGGTGCAGGACCCCGGGAGCTGGCCGCTGAGTAGCCCCTGCCGTCCCTGTCCGGAGCCCCCAGAGCCCACTCGCTTGCACCTGGAGATGGCGACCTTGTGGAGGGCGCGATCCAAGAGGTGGGTGATGGGGCCCAGGAGGGAGGGGGCCCTCGGGCCTTGGAAAACGTTACTTGTCATGGGCTCTGCGGATGCCAGCAGCTGTGGTGAATAGTGACTGGGCAGTAACAGGGCATCAGGCTTCGCGCCCCGAGCTCCAGGCGCAGCACGCGGCTCCCCTGCTCCCTGTCTGGGGGACTTCCCTGTCCCCCCTCTTTAACTTCGTTACCTCCTGTTCCACCTCAGTTTTCTCCTTGGCTCTCGGTACCACCTGACAAGACTAACTCAATACATGTGTGGCACTTCTTTGCGGGGCATTGTTTGAAGTCCTTTGTATTTTCTTAGACCAGGTGACTCTCATAGCAACCCTTGCTCTGGTTCCCATTTACAGATTAGAAAACCGAAGCACAGAGAGGTTGGATAACTGACCTAAGGTCACACAGCCTGTTTGTGGGAGAGCAGGACGCAGACCTCAGTGTTGGGCTCCAGAGCCTGCGCTTGTTGCCCCTTCCCTTGGTCTCCCCAGCTGGCCGTCCGCTCATGGGGCAGGTGATGTGTCTGCTTTGCTCCCTGCTCTGCCCCTAGCCCCTAGGGTGCTGGCTGTGTATCACAGCTGCTTAGCAACTGTGTTCAGTAAACGGCTATCTCACGACGGCTCCTTGGGGCAGGTGCTCTTCTATTCTCCCTCACGGATGGGGAAACTGAGGCTAGGGTGAGGCTCAGGGTCCAGCACCCACATCCCTAAGCAGCAGGCAGTACAGCTCCCAGCAGGAAGGCCCTGGGTCCCGGGTACGTGAGTTTGTGACGCATGTGTGCAGCTGTGGTGGGAACCACGGGCTTGGCTCGAGGGCCATCTGGCTCAGCAGGGGACACGGGGACAGCCCTGAGCAGAGTAAACAGTGGCGTCATGTCTATGCACGGAATGTGCAGCATCTGGCCCAGCCGGAAATACAGCCTGGCCTCCCCATGAGCCTTCTGGGGACCTGGCAGGGCGGCGGCCTGATGGCTCCTCTCTCAGGGCTGACGAAGGAGCTGGGGCTGGGGCCGGGGCGCTGGCCTGCTGTCCCCTGCCTGGCTCTCCAGACAGCAGTCCTCAGCTGTTCCTACGGACTGAACCCCAAGGGCGGGACCACGGGAGAAGGCGCGGCCGAGGGCCTGTTGGACGCACGTGTCCCAAGCCCTTGAGAGTCTCGAAGCGCAGCCGGGAGGACTCCAGCGCGGCCTCTTTGTTGGGAGGCTACCGGCCTGGGGAAACCCTCAGCCCCTCAAGGGGTGTTAGGGGACTGGGAGGACTGATGCCTCTGGGAACCAGGTAGAAATGCAAAATCTCAGGCTCTCCCTTCAGGCCAGCTGGATCCACACTCTGGGTGGAGGTGGGGCCCCCAGTCTGAGCCGAACAAGTCCTCCAGGTGTTCCTGGTGCCCCGAGAGAACCCTGGCCGGGTCCCTTGGGTCCCCGCTGAGGAAGTGCCTGGGTTTGGGTTTGGGTTCCAGCTCTGCCACCTACAAGCTTCTTGACACTGGACTGAGGCTCGCCTTGTGGCAGGTGGTGTTTCCCTTTCAGTGAGGCTGGTATTAACTTAGCACCTACTACTTCCCAGGCTGTGAGCAAGGGGAAAGAAACAGTTGCATGTGATGGTTAATATAATAGCTAACCAGGGGCCGTGCTGCACACCTGTACTCTCAGTTACTCGAGAGGCCGAGACAGGAGGATTGCAAGTTTGAGCCCAGCCTGGGCAACTTAGCAAGATCCTGTCTTAAAATAAAAAAAGGGCTGGGGAGGTAGTTCAGTGGTATAGCGCTCACCTAGCATGTGTGAGGCCTTGGCTTCCATTCCCAGCACTGCAAACCAAACCAAACCAAACAAACAAATGCCTTAAAAAACAATGCATTGGCTAACATTCATAAAGCACCTACTAAGTGCCCCCTTTGTACCAATGCAGAACCTGGCATCTCATAGCATTTGTAGCACCACTCTCGGGTGTATAGTCTGTCCTTCCCCCATTCTACAGATGACAAAGCTGAACCTTAGGTAGTGTCAAGGTGAAGCTGCTTTAGTGAAAGAACGCCCAAATGCAGATGCCTGAATAAGAATTGTCACTCTGCTCTTGGCCTAGCTGTGCAGGACCAGGGAGTGGCTGAGGCAGGGTGGCGCTCAACCCCCCGAGGCTGCTGTAGCCCCCACCCCGCCATGTTCAGCCGTGTTGTGGGGACCTGGGCCGTGCTTGCAGCCAGCTTCCGGCACCTGTAGAAAGGAGGACCTGGGGCAAAGGCCGGGCAGCTCCCCTTTAGGAACTGGCCCCAAAGTGAGTACTACAAGTCATTTCCATGCACATCTGTTCATGAGGACGCAGCCTGGCAGCCACTGGACAAGGCTGGCTGGGACCCAAATCCATGCACAACTTGGACCCGAAGATCCAACCAGGATTCTCTGTGCATGGCGTCTGAGGGTTTCTTCAGAGCTGTGGGGAGCAAAGTCTGCCAGCCAGCCTGGTCCGCCAGCCTCCTGCAGGAGCTATAGGACCCTAGGCAGAGGCCGAGGTGCCACTGAAACCTGATGCCATACTGCTGTGGTCAGTCCTGAGATGCTGGTATGTCTCCCATGGGCTGTCACTACTGGAAGGTATTAATTCCTAGGATCATGCAGTCCATGCTCCTAGCTCCAACTGGTTGAAGCTGAAAAGAGAGCCAACTGGGTCATAGATTTGCAAAGTCCAAAGGCAGGTCCACCTTCAGGAATAGCTGGATCCAGGAACTCCTTGTTATGTGCTCATGTATGCGTGTGGTCTGACTCCATCTGCTTCTTTTGGTGTTGGATCTATTTTCCCTACATGGTGGCAAGAGGAGTATGTTCCTCAAGTTAGCAACGCCAGCAGAAAGAATCCCTCTCCTCCTCGGACTCCTGAACCAAATCTCTGGCCAGTTATTGACCAGACTTCTGCCCCATGCCTTGCCTGGGCTGGGGTGGTGGAATTTATTGGCTAAACCATCCCTGGGAATTGTGTTTGCTCCGGGACACCCGTGTTTACCAGTGTGGATGGAAATGTGTGCAAGCATGGTCACAGGACAGGCACCTTCTCCCCTGAGAGTATAAGAGGCAGAGCTGGGGCTGCCCCGAGGGAAATCCTGGCACTGTTGACAGAGGGCACTGCTGGGGCAGAGTAGTGGCCACCCCTGCACAGACACGGGCTGCGACTTGGCCCACCCCACCACACCGATCCTGCGGCTGACTGACTGCGTCCTCACTGTGAGTTCATTTCAGGTTGCAGGTTTTCATGATTCATCCCGTAATTCTCAAATGCAGGCCTCTCATTTTACAGATGAGGAAACTGAGGCTCAGAGAGTCTCAAGTTTCCCAGGAAAGCTGGAGGTGAAGGGGCTGGGACCCAGCCAGGTTTCCTGACTCCCAAAGTGCCTGCCCCAGGGCGGGGTCATCCTGAGCCACGCCCTGACCTCCCTCCTCGTCCCTTCTCGCAGGAAGTTGACCAGTAAGAACTCTGTGAGGTCGAGATCACCTGCAAAGTACTCTAAGGCCTATGGCACGCTGCGCAAGGCGCCCACCAGCCTGGAGCCCAAGCCCCAGCAGGTGAAGAAGATCTTCGAAGCCCTAAAGTGTGGCCTCAAGTAAGTGCAGCCTGGGTCCCCCTTGGCGCCCCCTGCCTCTTCAGGGAGCGCAGCAGGTCTGTCCGTGAGAGGCGCACAGGGCTTCAGGCGGCTTAGGCCCTGGTGCAGCCTAAGGAGTCCGGGCTCTGCCTGCAAAGGAGAGATCTGGGCAGAGGCCAGATTGGGGAGGTCAGTCATAAATATTTATTTATTGAGGTGCAGGGTACAGGAGGTAACAGAACAGACAAAACTGTCCTTGTGGCGCTGACTCCAGTGGGGACAGACACACCATAAACAACGCAGAGGTAAACGCAGGCATGTGGGGTGGTGCACGGGACACAGAGGGCCAGGAATCCGGGCGGGGAGGTGCGGGAGGGTTTTAAGGGAGGCCGGGCCGCACTAAGGTGACATGTGGGCAAAGAAGAGGAAGCAAGCCATGCAGGTAACGGAAGCGAGCCATGCAGGTAATGGGGGAACATTCCAGATCACAGCAGGCAGAGAGCAAAGGCCTGAGGGAAGGAGCCGAGGCAGAGGGCGGCGGCTGCAGAGCGGGGGTTGGGGACCATGGTGAGGCCTCCAGTGTTCAGCCTGGAAGAAATGGGAGCCATGGAGGGTTCTGTGCGGAGGCAGGATATGATCTGACTTCGGCTTTAGTAAGACCTCCAGAAAGAAGCAGAGTTGGTTAAACATTTACACAGTTTAGGGTAAATAGTTTTCAAACGATACTTTTTTTTTTTTTTTTTCTGGTTCTGGGGATTGAATCCAGGGCCCCATATGTACACTGCAAGTGTTCTACCACTGAGTTATGTTCTTGGCCCTTTTTATTTTTATTTTGAGACAAGATTTGTTTAATTGCCCAGGCTGGGCTTGAATTTGCAATCCCCCTGCGTTCGCCCCCCAGGTAGCTGGGCTGCCACCACACCTGATGTACATTCTTTTGTAATTAAAAATATATATAACATGAAGCAAGAAAGTTAAAATGGCGAGGAGGGAATTTTTTTTTTTTCCTTTGAGAAAGGGTCTCACTATATACCGGTAGTTCAGGCTGGCCTTGAGTTCATTATGTAGCCCAGGCTGGCCTAGAACTTGCAGCAACCCTCTTGCCTCAGCCTCCCAAGTGCTGGGATTATAGGCATGTACCACAACACAGGGCAGCATGGGGGGGATGTTTTGCACCCTGTCTTCATGACCAAATGGGCTCACCTGCTGGGAAGCCAAGCAGACCCCAAGTTCTGGAGGTAGAAGTGGGGTGACCCAGGGACAGCCAAGAGGGCACAACTGGCCTATTAGGGTGGCAACAGGGCCAGGTCCTCCTCACCCCGGGGGATCTGTCCCCGAAGCCTCCCTTCCCCTCCTACAGGGAGAGGGACAGAGCTCCTCAGGCAGGCAGATGGTGTCACCCTCGGCTCGTGCCACCTCCACCCCAACATGGCAACGCCGCGGTGGCTCCAGCCACCCCCAGCTGCCCCATGTCAAAGGTCCCCAGACTGTCACATTTCCTGTCTCCTCGCAGACTGGCTCTCCGCTGTGTCCCACCCCGCTGTCAGGTCCTGTGAAGGGAAAGTCAGCTGGCCCTGAGGAAGGACAGGGGCTTGGCCATGTGTCACTCCTCAGGGACACCTGCGCACCGTGTCCTTGGCAGAAGCAGGCACTCAGGCCACAGCCTCTCCTCCTCCCGCTGCTCTCACAGCCCCTTCGCTCCCACCTCTCTGTCCCCTCTTCTTTTTGTTTCTCCCAAGCTCCCCCAGCCCCGGGAGAGCTTTTAGGGTCCTTTGTGACCCTGGGCCCCCGACTTGCCTTTCTGGATCCATTTCCTGTTCCCATATGGTCCAGCAGGGGGCGCCCCAGAGCACGCTGCCACCCTTCCGTGTACCCCATGCCCAGGTTCCTGCTGAGCAGCACCTCCCCGCTCCGGCAGCACAGGGCCCCCCACTGCTCTAGCTGGCGCGCAGCATTTGCCGGACCAGATCCTGCTTCTCCTCCCCGGGACATCCGCTCCTGCCCCACACCCTGAGTGCCCTGCGTCTCCCACTCACTTGTCACAGCATTAACAGTGCCAGCAGCTGTGACCGCTGGTGTTCTGCATGTCTGGGCCTTGACTCCTGGCCTCCGGGGGCCTGGCGCCCCACACCAGGGCGGCCCTTGCCCTCCTTTCCCAGACACACTGCCCTCAGCCTGCACCGGCGGGAGCCTGGGTGTGTGGGGAGGCGGGGAGTCTGTCCCCGAGGGGCCCATGTCCCTGGACAGCATCTGGGCTCCCCTAAGGACCACCTGCCGAGACCTGGCTGGGCCGTGGCCACCCCCTTGGTCCCGGGGAGCCTGATTCTGCACGGGCCGGCAGAAGCTGCCCCTTCCTCATTTGAGGAGGGTGCGTGACCTTCCTGGGGCGACCCAGCAAATCCACACTGGAGCAGATGGGCCCCCACCCTACTCCTGTGTCCGGACCCGTGTCCCACCCACAGCCTCCCCTGTGCTTGCAGTGTGATTTCTAGGCCTCTCCAGGGTCCTCAGCCGCTGCGTCCAGGCAGAAGGGTCGCAGCCGGGGAATAGGCACAAGACGGTGACACTGGGGCCCTGGAGGACACGGCATGGCTTCAGGCCTGTGTTCAGCTTCCCTGCTGCCATGTGGCCCCGACTGGGTTACTTGCTGCCCCTGGGTGTCAGTTCGCCTGTCCTTAAAATACGCATTTAACCACGGAGCAGGGATACCCGAGAGCCCTCGGCCAGGTCCGGGGATGCAATCGGCGGGCAGCTTTCTTCTCCTTTTTTGCTCTTTTCCACTGAAAAGTCTTCTTGGTCTCCATTGCAGGGAGTATCTGTGTCTGCAGCAGGCCGAGCTGGACTTCCTGTCAGGACGCCACACAGACACCCGCAGGAATTCCAGGCTGGTGAGAACCCTCCCTGCCCCAGGCATCCAGACTCAGAGGCTCAGGGAGGGCCCTGGGTTTTGAGGTGAAGGAGTGTCACATTGGCCCTGACTGGCAGAATAGTGCAAGCGGGCGCCAGAGTGCATGGTAGCAGGGCCACTTGGCCTCTTCCTCTTGGTTCTAGAAGAACCTGAGGCAGGCGGCTGAATGGAGCTGCCTGTGTTCTAGGTTTTAGACAGTCCTATTTTTTTTTTTTTTTTGGTCTTGCTATACAGTTCAGGCTGGCCTTGAAATCACTGTATAGCCCAGACTGGCCTCAAACTCACAGTGATCCTCCTGCCTCAGCCTCCTGAGTGCTGGTGGCCCATGCCTGCCTTAGATGGTCTTATTTTGTAGAGTTTTGCAGTCAGGTGCCCTGAGGTCAGAGAGGCTTATGTTGCCTGGGAGGGGGAGCCGCTTCTCCAGGGTGTCACGGTGGCCCCCGACACTGCCCTTGTGGGAGCCTGCACGTCTTCTCCGACACTCAGAGCCCTGCCGGTTTCCCCAGCATTAGAGCTGTATCTTCGAGACTGGTCTCCACCCCCACCCCACAGTCTAGCGCGAGGCTCACTCACTCTAGGCTTTGTTGCCTTCTCACCAGAGCCAGGCTTAACAGCAAAACAAAACAAAGCAACGCAAACAAACATAACAAAAAATAGCCCAGAGAACTGGCTTCCGAGACAACAAATGATTTCTTAGTATCACCCATGGGACCTTTGGGAACTACTGTACTGGTCCTACAACATTGCTCACTGTCTGGGACACGCAAATTCCAGCTGGGTATCCTGTATCGTACCCCGTGATGCAATCAGAGTCCCCGAGTGGGCCTGTGCCTCTCCAGCAGCAGGATCCCTCTTCCCTGGCTGCGCGGCTCCTCCCAGCCTCCTCTCCTGCTCCGCCTGCCACCTCGTGCAAAACCCCACCTGTCCTTGCGAAAGTTGGAAACAAAGGACCCTGGCCCGCTGCTGAGGGCCCTTCCTCCCCCGGAGCCGAGGGGCACTGCGGGGGCGGGGGGAGCCGTGTGCCAGGGGCTGGAAGCCGGGAAGGGGCAGGGACGCTTCCTGACTCTGCCCTGGCTCTGGGGGAGAAGGCCCTGGTCAGCAGGGCGGGTGGGGCCCGGCTGGAGCCCATCCCTGTGCCAGCCACGCAAGGCAGGCGAGGCCCAGCCAGCTCCGTGCGCCTCGCCCTCAATGGGTGGCTGGGCAGTGGCCAGTGCAGAGGGCGGGGAAGCGCTGCTGAGAGACCCTGCCGGTCCTGGCGCCCCGCCTCCCCACCAGCGCATGGCTCCCACACCAGGAGCCATGGTCATGCTCATTCACTGGGGCCCAGAAGTAAGCGCATAAACACGCATGTGCTTTAGCTGCTCCCGTGGCACACTGAGGTCAGGGACGTGTGACTGTCCAAGGGCCACCCCGTGGAAAGGCTGCCAGGCATCCTGCTGCCTTAGCGGCAGCTGTCTGAATTTCACCACTATGTTGGTCTCTGAGAAGCTCGTGCAGAAGCTTCTTTTCTAAATCATGGGCTCTTTGTTTTTTTTGGTTTTTTGGTTTTTTTTTGAGACAGTGTCTCACTGTGTAGTTCAGCCTGGCCTTAACTCACCATGTAGTCCAGGCTGGCCTTGAACTCACAGCAATCCTCCTGCCTCAGCCTCCTGACTGCTGGGGTTACAGGCATGGGCCACCACGCCCTGTTCTATTTATTTCTTAAGTACAGTTTTAATGTCATGATCTCTAACTGCATCCATGAGAAAACAGCCTTCTGGAGGCTTAGTTCTTTTGCTTTAGATTGACACTTCCTCCATCTCCTCTGTCCTACCTGTGTGGCCTTCCTTTCTCAATCTACTATGGATCTTTCTCTTTTCTCTCCCGGGTTGCATAATCACATCTCACACACACACACACACACACACACACACACACACACACACACACACAGGGAAGTTTGGGGTCAGTAGCTGACTTATAAAAATGAAATCACATTTTACTCCACATCTTACTTTTCTTCTCCGTGGGTCTCTAACCTGGTGGAGTCCCGCTCAGGTAGACAGGCTCCTCCATCAGCAGTCTGGGCTGCTGGCCACACCCCCTCATTTGCATACCGCCTAAGGCCTGGGTTACAGTGGGCGCTCCAACCTGAGAGGGTTACAGTCTGGCTCTTTATGGAAAGGTTGGGCTGCCCCTGACCTTGTCTTCTTTCCTCAGCCACATCCCGGCAGGCGCCGTTAAGGCCTGAGCTCAGAGGCAATGCTGTCTGCTGCCCCAAGTTCTGGCCCTGGCTGGAGTTGCCCCACACCCAAAGCACAGTAGCCCGCACGGAGTTACCTACAGCTGAACCCTTTCCCTGTGGTAGCTCCCACAGAGCAGACGCTCTCAGTGCCCATTTTACATACAAGATGTCCTTCAGAGAGGTTGAGTAACTTGCCCCAAACACACAGCCGGAAAACAGCAGCGCCAGGCCCAGAACTGCCTCCCGCAAAGTGTGTGTGTTTAATCACTCTTTGACCCAGACTGTCAACGGCCCAGGGTCTGCAGGCCTCGCAAGACAGCAGGGCTGGCTGCAGGCCCTGGATTTTGTTCTCTGAGCGCAGGTAACCCTGCATGTAGCCTCTCCGGCCTGGGAGGAGCATTGGGGCTCTGACACCTCTGCCTCCCCCTCATTGTCCCCCACAGGCCTTCTATTATGATCTGGACAAGGTGAGCAAAACTTCCGCATCCACACACGGTCAGCAAGGTGGCAGAGGTGGGCGGCCGGGCAGGCGTCCCACCCTCCCCGCTGCTCTGAGGGGGAATACTTGGGTTTCCTCCCGCTGGACCAATGGGGAAACGGAGGCTCGGTGAGCCCCCCTCAAGGCTGGTGAGGGGCTGCCCTGGCACTGGGCCCTGTCCTCCAGTGGGGCCTGGTGGAGGGCAGCAAGGGCTGGCGGGAGCCCCTGGCCACTTTTAAAGCATCTTTTCTCCTCCTGGGAGAAGCAAACACGCTGGATGGAAAGGCACATCAGGAAGATGGAGTTCCACATCAGCAAGGTGCGCAGCCCCGGGGTGCCACAGGGTGGGGTAGGGCAGCCTCAAGGGGCTGGCAGGAGCAGGGGAGGCCTCGGGGCAGGGCAAGGACTGCGGAGAGGCTGAGGGTGAGCGGCAGTGGCAGAGCCTGGGCGACTGCAGAGCCTGCTGCTCTTGGGCCTGTCGTAGGGCTGCAGGGGCCCAGCCCAGCAGTGGGTGTGAGGGGGCGGCTCCCCAGGACCCTGTGCAGGAAGACCTCATGCTTAACCTTAGGCGCTGGGAAGGCTGAGTCCAAGTGCCCATTGCATGGATGAGAAAGCAGAGCCTGAGAACAGGGCCTGGCCCACAGTCACATAGGAAGCCCTTGGGAGTCTTCAGAGTCTTTCACGGTCTCGGTTTACTGCCCAGACCCCCGGGGGCAGGCGGCTATCACAACCCACCTCCCCTTTGGACGGTCAAAAAAATCATGCGGAGGGGAAGCGATCTATTCGCGGGTCCACCTCGCTAGGTGGGGCTCCCGCTCCGTGGGGACCGCAGGGCAGGCACTGGGTGAGGTTCAGTGGGGAGCGGTCTGTGGGCAGTGTGGGCCCTGTCCTGTTGCCCACCCCAGGTGGATGAGCTGTACGAGGGCTACTGCATCCAGTGTCGCCTGCGCGACGGGGCCTCCAACATGCAGCGTGCCTTCTCGCGGTGCCCGCCGAGCCGCGCGTCCCGCGAGAGCCTGCAGGAGCTGGGCCGCAGCCTGCACGAGTGCTCTCAGGTGGGCACCTCCCCGCGCCCCTCCTCTGGCTGCCGGGAGCCGGTGGGCAATGGCTGAGCCACCTGTGGGGCTTTGCAGGACATGTGGCTCATTGAGGGGGCGCTGGAGGTCCACCTGGGCGAGTTCCACATCAGGATGAAAGGTACATGGCCAGTTTGGGGGTGTCGGGTCCTCTTGGGGCTCTGGGAGTTCTGCTGACGGGGAGGGATGTGGCCGGAATCCCAGGGGCCCAGCCCCACCTCGTGTCCGCCCTCAAGTGACTTCTCACAATCCCTGAGCGTCAGCTGTGAATCCCCATCCCGTCCTCCACCATGGCGCTGGCTTGGCCTCCCTGTGCTGTTACAGACACCCCGCGGGGTCCCTCCACGGGAGGGACAGGGGCGGACATGAGCCCCTTTCTGTGTTCCAGGCTTGGTGGGCTACGCACGCCTCTGTCCGGGGGACCAGTATGAGGTACGGCCATGGTCCGGGTCAGCTCCTGGGGTCTCAGCTGAGGTCCTGTCTGGGAGGGAGGCCCCAGGCAGGCGGCGAGGGGGACCCACCTGGGGCAGCCACCGCACCCCTTCCGGGCCTCGCCTGCAGGTGCTCATGCGCCTGGGCCGCCAGCGCTGGAGGCTGAAGGGCCGCATCGAGTCTGACGACAGCCAGATCTGGGACGCAGAGGAGAAGGCCTTCGTCCCCACCCTGCACGACAACTTGGAGATCAAGGTGAGGGCCGGGCTGGCGTGGGCAGGGGCCCCCCGTGCTCGGCTCAGACACCAGCCTCCAGTCTCCGCCCCCAGGTGATTGAGCTTCGGGGCCTGAGCTCGCTGGCCGTGGGCACCGTGACGTGCGACATCGCCGACTTCTTCAGGACGCGGCCGCAGATCGTCGTGGTGGACATCACGGAGCTGGGCACCATCAAGCTGCAGCTGGAGGTGCTGTGGAGGTGAGTGGGGCCGACCGCGTCTCCCGCGCCCTGCCGCGCCCCCTGCTGGCGGACTGCACCCTGGGCTTGGCTCTGCCCGCAGCCTCAGAGGGGACCCCTTCCCGCACCTGAGATCTTCGCGCTCCTCAGGGTGACACTAGCCCCAGCAATCACCCTGCCTGGGGTGGTCCTTAGGCTATAAAGGATTTGGGGTAAAGGATTTTGCAGAGTTCCTTGCACTGGGGATTATTTTGCAGGACAAAGGCAACCCCTGCAACTGCAGAGCCTCCTGGGGCCCCTTGAGCCCCAGGCCTCCCAGGTGGCTGCACATGACACCTCGCCTCCCTTCTCTCCTCCAGCCCCTTTGATTCCGAGAGCCCCCTGGTGTCACCCAGCCCCACGGGCAAGCTTTCCGTGGGCAGCAGGAAGGGCTCTTTGTACAACTGGACACCCCCGAGCACCCCCAGCTTCCGGGAGAGATACTACCTGGTGAGCGAGCTCTGCCCTGAGCAGGGACCACATGGTCGCCCTGGCGGGGACAGGGAGTAGGGCTGGGTGGGCCCAGCTCCTCTAGGGTGTCCTGGGCGGCTGCCGCCCCTGTGCTCTGGGGCCCGTGGAACTGGTCCTGGGCGCGCTGGTTCTTCCGGATGCTGGCAATGGGCTCTCTGGAGGCTTCGACCAGCCCAGCAGTGGCTTGGCCTCCACTTTCTGTTCAGACATTCTCGCTGTGCGGCCCAGGTTAGAACAGGGCCACCCTCATGGTGTGCAGTGAGGGTTAGGGGGTGACAGGAGGCCCCGGAGCAGGGCAGGTGAACACAGACGTGAATGACAGATGCTAACAACACACTGCACGTCAGGCAGACCCTTTATTCATCATTCACTGCGCTCCTTCAAAATTCTGTGTCCGGCTCTGCTCTCGCGAAGGTGAGCTCTGTGTCCTCAGGGAGCTGAAATTCTCTGGAGCAAATGGACAATATTGAGATCAGGGATCTGCACAGCCAGCCCAAGGGGCAAAGGGACCATGGGAAAACAGCAGAAGGGGAGGGGCTTCTGGAGCAGGTAGGACTTGCCATTTACAATAGCGTATCTAAGGGCAGGTTCCCAGAACAGGTGACATCTGTGTAAGGACATGAGGAGGTGAGGACCCATACCCATGTGTGAAACAGTGTCAGTGCAAAGGTCCTGGGACAGGAATATATGAGGCAGCCCAGAGGGCATGAGAAATAGGGAGGCTGCCAAGGCTGAAGAGGGTGAGGTAGAGAGGGTGCTGGAGGCTAAGGACACAGAGGTGGCAGGGTCCCATTGGCAGCTCTGAGATGCCAGTCTCCTCAGCAGACCTGTCATCCTGGCCTGTGGGTTGGTGGGGGAAGTCCCCTGGGGGTCTGGCTCTGGTCCCTGGATGGCCGATGAGGCTGCTCCTTTGTCCCCTCCCCAGTCCATCCTGCAGCAGCCAGCACAGCAGCCCTTGCTGCTAGGTGGGCCAAGGGCTACCTCCATCCTCAGCTACCTGTCTGACAACGACCTCCAGGGCCCTAGCCTTAGGAGCCGGAGTCAGGAGCTGCTGGAGATGGACTCCTTCAGCTCCGAGGATCCCCGAGACACTGAGACCAACACGTCGGCATCCACCCTGGATGTGGGCTTCCTGCCCTTGGCCATTGGCCCCGCTGCCTCCAACGAAGAGGAGGCGCAGGAGGACCGCCCTCCCCTGGGCCTGCTGCCAGCCATGGCCCCCCTGGCAGGTGGCTCCTTTGTGGAGCGGCCCGGCTGGAGGAACTTGGGCATGGAGAGCTCCAGCCTGCCCTGGGGCTCCCCCTTCCACAGCTGCTCCGTTCTGAGCAAGCAAAGGTGCCAGGGGGAAGGAGAAACGAGGGACGGAGCAGATGCACCCGCGGCAGCCCCGGAGCAGCCACTGCAGGAGGTCCTGGAGTTACTGAGGTCCACGGGCCCCACGCAGCCCCAGCTCCGGGAGCTGGAGTACCAGGTCCTCGGCTTCCGGGACCGCCTGAAGGTATGCGTGCCCACTGTGCGGCAGCCCTGCCCTGCTGGCTGTGTGAGCACCAGGAGGGGGCTCTGGGGCCGGCCGGCCTGTGCGGGCATCCTGGCCTCAGCCCTGAGTGAGCCAGATGGGCAATTTGCTGCTGGACCTCAGTGTGCTCATCTGTCAAAGGGGGATAGCAACAGCCCTCGCTGTGGTGAGAGGAGGATGCTAAGGGGAAGCCAGGGCTCACCGTGGGTAACTTGCTCCATGTCCAGCCAGGCCCGGGCCCCGTCTCGCTTCTTCTGATCCAGGTTTGTGGGTTGGAACTTGGTGTTAAGAACCCAAACTTGGGGCCCAAGCTGGCTCCACAGAAGGCCCCGTGGCCACCTGCCTGCCTCATTCACACACCCCACACGGACCTTCTCCTCGACGACAGCTCGTGCAGGGGCCACCACAGTTCACGAGGGTGTGTAGGTGGCAAGTGACTCTCAGAGGTGCTGACCCAGCCAGATCATTCTGCTTTTTTGTTGACAGAGTTTAAATGTACATACAATAAAATGTGTATCACCAGCATCTCCTTACATATCCATTAATTTATGAAACCACTCTTTTTGTGTAAGATACATACTATCACTAAACTAGCCAGCAACTCTCTTCCAAAGTCAGTTTTAATTGTTTAAAATTCCCCTGCTGATTTAGCTCAGCGGCAAAGCGCCTGCCTGGCAAGCGCAAGGTCGTGAGTTCAGTTCCCGGTACCGGAGAAAAACCAAAACCAAAAAAATAAAATAAAATAAAATAAAATAAAATTCCCCTGCTACCCTCAACATTATGAATCAGCAGAAGTGAAAGAAATTTAATGTTTCATTTTATATCCAGCAACACCAAGAGCATTCACTGCTCATCGCTCTTTATTTTATTTATTTATTTAGTCTTTTTGAGACAGGGTCTCACTATACAGTTCAGGCTGGCCTTGAGCTCACTTTGTAGCCCAGGCTGGCCTTGAACTTGCAACAATCCTCCTGCCTCAGCCTCTCAAGTGCGGGGATTACAGGCATGCACCCTCATGCCTGGCTTCATCACTCTTTAAAAAAGACCTGCCTGAAAATTTTAAGAAAAAAAAAAAAAATCCCAGGAATATGTCATCCTTTTTTGTACTTTTTCAGTCTTTTTATGTGGAATAATTTGAATAAGACACCCACAACTTCTATTGTGTATTTTGAAAAATTAGTCTCACTTTATGGAATCTTAAAATAATATCATAATTATACAATAACTTAAACTATCTTTTAGGAATTTTTCTGTTGCTGGCAAACCAAGCAAGAGCAGTAAAAAGAAGGATAGGTCCTGGCTTTGAAACCGCAGACTCACTCACATACACTGAGATGTGTGTAAGTGTGTGGGCATCTGTGGACTAGATGTAGATGTACGCACAAGGCCTTGTCCTTACAGTTCTGCATTCTCGGGTTTACCTCCTTGTTAGGATTAACTTGCAACCCCCGAATCAGTGGTCAAGGCACTGCCGAGGTCATTTTTAGGAGCTGCAAAGTTCCCAGCTGAGGTCACACAAGGTGAGCTCTGCCCTCACGCTTACCTTTCCTGTGAGCGAGTGTCCGTTCACGGTCTAGTTAGTGTCACATTTTTAAAATTTCTGGTGTATTTTGTCAGTGGCTTCACTGTGTGAGTGGCCTTCAAGAGCAGAGCCGAGCTCCTGAGCGCAAATACATGTGCTCAACAAGGCTCTTTCAGGCAGGGTTACAGGGCTGGTGGCTGGAGGTTCAAGGTTAATACAGCAACAATATCAATTAAGTTGTCTTTTTTTCCCCCAGTACTGCGATGGAGGTTGAACCCAGGGCTGCTCTATTTAAAAAAAATTTTTTTTTTTAACATTTTAAAATAGGATCTCACTAAGTTGTCCAAACCAGCCTCAAACTTGCGTCCCTCCTGCCTCCGCCTCCCAAGAAGCTATGGTTACAGGCATTCGCTGTTGCACCTACTTCATAAGGTGTTTTAACATGTTCCTGTCGGCTTGAACCACTAGGGGTATATGCCTGACTGTCCCATCGGGAGCCTTGTGCCCCTGGTAGGAGAAGTAGTGGTCATGCATGGGACAATCATGAACTTGTGAACATGTTAACCAGAAACACACATGAAATTTTATTTTACTTTTTTATTTTTGGTACCAGGAATCGAAGGCAGGGTCTCACGTTTGCCAGGCAGATGCTGTGCCACTGAGCTACATCCCCGGCCCCCACATGAAATTTTACGTTAATTGGTTGGAGAAAATGCCAAGCAGGGTTCGCGGAAAGCTAACCCAGTATTTTTCCTAGGAGCATGGTCCAGCGTTTTCCAGCTCCGCTTCTCCCTCTGACTTTGTAGGATAACAACGATCGACCCATACGCAGATACACTCATTTTTGCTCAACCAGAAATGAAATCTCTGTAACCAGCCCTACTGGCCTCTTGTTGCTTAAGGTTTTTTCCTTTGGCCTCAGCTTTTAGGACCCTGGCTCTCGCTTGCAGCCTCTGCCTGGGTTGTGTCTCGGGTGTAGTTTGTAGGGGACGAGGTCAGCTATGCTGTGAATGTGGCTGCAGAGACGGAAGTGTCCAGGAAGCGCCCTGCCACTGGAGGTCCTGGCGCCTTGGCCAGCGGCAGGATGGTAGCCCCAGCGTACCTCCCCTTCTTCCGTGCTTCCCTGGGAAGGAAGAATCCTGAACCCCAGGGTCTCAGCTGCCGCTTCCTGGCCTCCTGGGTGGGTGGGTGTCACTTGGCCTTCACTATAATTAAAAAGTTTGACATTCAATGTTGATTTGTAAAAATGTGGTGATTTCCCAGAGAACCTTGGGTGTCTGCACTTAGAACAGCGCACCATTGGCACTCACGTCCCCAAGTCCCCAAGGTCCCATGAGGCAGGTGGCAGCTGCGCAGAGCAGCAGCTTCTGTGAGTGAGGCAGCTGCTCTCCACGTGGTCCCCATCTGGACTGCTCACTTGGTCTTGTCACTTGTCCTGTCCCGTGGGTGTCGGGACCCACCTGAGGCCTGTTGGGTCCATCTTGAGATTCTGCACCAAGCCTTGTTGCAGGCCCCTTGGGTGGGACCCCAGGAGGAGCAGGTGCGGCCAGGACAGGGACCTCAGCTGGCGCTGGGCTGCGGGAAAGGCAGGGCTGTGGTGGGGACACTGTCAGGCCTGCAGGGAGCCCCCGGCCCGTGTCCTGGCGGGGCGGGGCACGGGCTGCCCTCAGGGTGGCCGCTTGTCCACAGCCACGCGGAGCCCGGCAGGAGCACGCCTCCTCCGAGAGCCTCATGGAGTGTATACTGGAGAGCTTCGCCTTCCTCAACGCTGACCTCGCTGCCGACCAGCTGTCCCTGTTTGGGGGCTCCCAGGGCCCCCGGTGAGCGCACCCCGCGCCCTCCCCAGGCCTCCTCGCACCACCTCCCATCAGCCTCCCAGCCCATCCCCCACACCCTCTGCCCTCCCCCGCCCTGTCCTGGCACACAGCAGGTCCACCACAGCTACCGAGAGAATGACAATGGCCTGCCCAGCCCTGGGCTCCTGGCTCCAAGGAATAGGGTGGAGCTTTAAAATCTCTAAAAATAACAGTATACAGCAGAAACTGCTGGACCTTGACTTCACCCACACACTACAGTGACCTAAGCCACAGGAACCGGGGCTCAGATTCCTTCGGGCCCACTGTCCACTCAGCTGTGATACCAGCTACCCAGCACACTGGTCCCGAGGGCCTCTGCTGCCCCTGTGTCAGGCAGCATGAAGACTTTCTATCCGCTCGGCCCCTCTGGGCTACCACGCCGTCTCCCTCCCTGAATGGCTAATGCTGCCTAGGCCTGGGGTTCAGCCCTTGCCCAGCACTTCACTGACCCCTAGTGCCCGGAGTTTGGGCTGCCTGTCCCACTGTACAGATGAGTAAACTGAGGCTGGGAGGGCAGCTGTGTCCAGAGTCACAGAGCTGGGATTGGTTTGAATCTCAGGCTTCCCGGTCCAGATTGGGTTCCGCCCAGCCCAGTCCTTGGGCTCCGCCCCAGCACCCGCCTGCATTGCTGCCCTCTCTCACGCCCTTCTTTTGTTCTTGGTTTTCTCCCGTTTCACCCCCTCTCTGTGGGACCTGGGTTGGCGTCCCCGATCCTGAGCTCTCCAGGGAGGGAAGGTTTCTTCTGCCTTCACAGGGAGCTGAACTGCTAACTGGACTGGTCTCTTCTCCACCCAATTCAGAAAAGACAGGACGACACCCCCACCGCCGTCACTGAAGGTATCACCCAGGGAGCTCACCGCCGGTGCCCCGGAGCTGGATGTGCTACTCACGGTCCACCTCCAAGTCTGCAAGGCCCTGCTGCAGGTGGCGGGGCGGGGCTGGGCCGGGGCTAGCTTCTGCTTAGGCTGGGGCCTGCAAGGCGGCGGGAGCATGGCCGGGGCAAGGGGCTTGCACCCTGACAGCCGAAGATGTATCCCCTGTGAAGGTGCAGGCCAGGGTCTGAGTCACCATGTGGCTCTTATCCAAGCCCCGAACGGAGGGCTATGGCTGTAACTGTCATTTACAGATGCCAGAACCCAACCCAAACTGGCTCAGCCAGAAGGAAAATGTATTGGCTCATGTACTGAAAGCCTCAGAAGCGGGCTCCAGGCCCAGCTGTATACAGAGGTTCAAGTGCCTGCATGACTGGGGCCCTCCCTTGATCTGCTGACCTCCCTTTGCAACGTGGGTTGGCTGTGCTTTTAGCAGAGTTGGTCCCTCTGGTGGCACTGCCGCTTCTTAGCTCAGCTTGGCGGAAGGGACCTCGGGATGTGGGTAAGGGAGCTACCACCGGGATGAAAGGGGCGGGCTCAGGGGACAGGGTCACAGCCCGATGGCTGTTTCCAGAGGCCGTTTCCGGGCTAACCTGGAACATTGTGGCTGCTTCCAGAAACTGGCCTCGCCTAATTTGTCCAGGATGGTTGAGGACTGCCTTGTGGAAGAGGCTGCACAACAAAAGCAGGTTCTGGAGATGCTTTCTGACCTTGATTTCGAGAAGGCCAGCCGGGCAACGTCCATCGAAGACAGTAAGTAACTGCCAGCCACCTGCTTGTGCTCGGTGAAGGGCACAGGGCAGCGGAGACAGGCGTCCAGGGAGCAGAGTAGCTGGCAGCTGTGGGCCAGGCTGGGGTGGATCAGAGACCCTGTGGGGAGGTGCCAGTCTGGGGATTAGCAGTGCCCTCTCGTCAGCTGTGTGGCTCTGGGCATTCACCTCTCTCTGAGGCTCAGCGTCCTCCTGCATGCTGGTGGCCACTGGGGAGGGTTCAGTGTGTGCCGGGCCGTGTTCAGGGTACACAGCTGGCCCTCAAACAAACAGCACCGCTGACCCCAGTTCTGCCTCTGGCCCCCACAGGGTCCCTCCCGATAGACCTCCTTCCTTGTCCGTGCGGGGCTGGTGACAGCTGCCCCCGGGCATGCTGGGGCCTGCAGACTGTGATCTGGTCGAGTGCCACATGGCCACGTGGGGAAGGGACCTCTGCCCTCCCCACCGGTCTGCTTTCTGAGCCCAGGCTCTCAGTCCTTCCGCAGGCCTCGCGCAGGAAGAGCTGCCTGAAGCTGTGGCGAGCGTGCACAGACCCTGGTGGAGTCCTGGCCTGCCCTGCGCCAAGGCTCCTAAGCCAGCTCAAGAAAATGTTCCTGCACAGAGTCCGTGGGAAATACCCAGGACAGCTGGAAATAGGTAGCTCCCCGTCCTCCTGTCCTGTCCAAGAAGGGCTGTGCGGAGCCTGTTTCCCCTCACGACGCCTCCCTCTGGCCAGTGTGCCGCAGGCTATTGGAGCAGGTGGTCACCTGCGGCGGGCTGCTGCCTGCGGCCGGGCTCCCCGAAGAACAGACCGTCACCTGGTTCCAGTTTCAGCGCTACCTGCAGAGGCAGAGCGTCTCAGACCTGGAGAGGCACTTCGCGCAGCTCACCAAGGAAGGTGGGGCCGAGCTGGCGGCTGCGCCTTCACTGCACGGGTGCAGCACAGGAGTGCCCTCGGGCCCACTCCTGCAAGCCAGGCAGTCTGAGGTGACATTCAGAGCCTCTGTGTCTTCCCTGCAGCCGTTGTCTGGAGAACCCAGATTTAATAAGATTCCACATTCAGCTGACACAGGGGAATGAACTCCAAGGGGAGCTGACTTTAAAAAGCACAGGGGGGAGAAAGCTAGGACAAGTGTAAAGAAAGAACACCTGTAATTCCAGGTACTCAGGAGGCTGAGGCAGGAGGATTGTGGGTTGCGAGTTCAAGGCCAGCCTGGGTAACTTAGTGAGGCCCTGCCCCACAAAAAAAAAAGGGCACAGTCAGAGTTGGGCAGGAGCGTGATGCCTGGCTGGCCAGAGTCCCTACAAGTTTGGGCTGTGGATTTGTACATTTTCAGGATATATCTGATCCCTTGCTAGAAAGCCTCCCTGATTCTGGGAGGTCCCCGCTGTCACCTGTCAAGACAGGGCCCTGGTGTCCCCCCACCCATGCCGGAAGATGCTTCTCTGCGGACCGTGGCAGCCATACTGCCCAACCCTGGGCTGGAGCACTGGTCCACTTCTTCTCTGTCTTCCAGTCACGCTCATCGAGGAGCTGCACTGCGCCAGGCAGGTCAAGGCCATCAGGAAGCTGCAGGGCAAGCGGCTGGGCCAGCTCCAGCCCCTACCCCAGACCCTGCGCGCCTGGGCACTGCTGCAGCTGGACGGGCCCCCAAGGGTGTGCAGGGCGGCCAGCTCGCGCCTGGCCACTGCGGCCAGGAACCGAAGCTTCCGTGAAAAGGTACGGCGTCCAGGCCAGGGGCGGCCCCTGCCCCAGGGGAGAGGGTGGGGAGTTGGCGTGCTTCATGGACAAATGCAAAGTGGGTGACTGTGGCTGCAACTGCTGAGGCAGATTTGGGGTGAGGGATGCTTTGAGGAAGCCACACAGGACCTCTGAGCTGGGGCTACCAGGCCACCTGAGCAGCACACATGAGCATGATGACTGCATACCCACAGTGCTCTGCTCTGCCTTCCTGTTTCTAAGGCAACACATCAGGTTCGTTGCTGAGGTATCACTAACATGGTGTCTTTTAGAGGGTTTTTTTTTCTTAATGGTATCAGGAATCGAACTCAGGACCTTGCACTTGCCAGGCAGGTGCTATGCTGCTGAGCTATATCCCCAGCCTTTTTTTAAAAAAGAGTTTTGTCGGTCATCCTCCTGGTGCCAGCTGTTAATGGCTCGCTTTGCCCAATCCATTTGAAAACCAAGAGCTTGGATGTCCCTGCTGTTTCCAGTTCCGGGTCCATGACTGTTCTATTTTTCAGGCAACAGCCCCAGAGGAGGGTGGGGAAGGGATATGGGGGCCATACTCTATGCCTTGGTCTCAGGTCTAGACTGGAGAGGAAATCACCAGCAACACTGCTGACACACCTTGGAACACATTTACCTTGTGGTGATATTTAACTACTTGGAGACTTCTGAATACAAACAAAATGAGGCAGAATGCTACAAGGAATCACATGCACCAGCCATTTAAGTCCAATCTCCATCCATCCATCCATCCATCCA